ACACCACAAATGTATTCACTCATTCTGTTCCCTTAGATATTGAACTTTAAAGTTGATTTATACCTTTTATTCTGAGAATTTACTTATTCTTCTTAAATCATGCTGTTTATACCTAGTGTTTTTTTTACTAACAGTGTTTGATATTTCTAACACCCAAACATTTGTCTTGATAATTTCGTCTTAGTGTACTGGTACAGTGTATGTGATCACTTCGGTTGATGCATATATGCGCCCTCGTCCTACATTGATTATAACTAGTTTAACTAAGTAAATAACATATAGGTTGACATCATTGAAAATATTGTGCGGTGTAATATGTTGGAGATGTTTGAATTTCACCATAAATCCTTTACTATGTTAAGATTTTTGTCTTTTATCACTTTTTTAATATCCATATACTTGTAAACTATGTAAATGTCATAGTAACTTCTTCAATTCTGTAAGTTAACAATTCAATGCATTTTCTGTTTTACTCTTGAATATATATAGATGATGCTTGTGTTGTACTATTGTTTGATATAATTATTCATTCGTATACGAAGTCATGTTATTGATTGTGTTTCCTTTTTTAGTTAGTTAGATTTTAAACTGAAGAGTCATTGTACTCCTACCTTTGAGTTAATATTTGTTTCTTGTGTATACCACTGTCAATAGAACTTAAACAAATATGTAGTTTGAAATGTACATGATCTGCGAAGGCTAGTACATAATTACATGAGCAATATCACTAGTTGTTACACTAAGTCCTACAAGAAACCATATGATTTGATCAGTATTGCATTTAGAAAATATCCTAGCTAACTTGAAGCAAAGTAAGAGAGGTTTTGGTTTTAATGAGTTACTTCCAGAGGTCTTTAAAGGTGGTAGGGGCGGCCAGACCAAAACATGGCACAAGTCCATGAAGTCGCTGACAAGTGGTCTGAGTCATGTTGGTAGGTGTAGACTACCTGGTTGGGGACCACGAGATGATAGCAACCCATGGTTAAAGACCCTGAATAACATGGCTCAAAATCGTTTGCAATGGCGCAGGTGCATCCACTCTTTGTGTTCTCCCAAATTCTAATCTTCTGAATTCTTCATGTCCCTTTTTTCCTCTTTCCAAATTTATTTCACTGAATTATACTCTTTAAATAACATATCCAAACCCTAATCTTCCCGATCACTGCTTACACTCTTGCTACCTCTACTACTACGGGATTTGAATCGACAACTGCATCTCTGTGTTAAGGTGGTGTGGCAACTCGAACTGATGTACGTACGTACGAAGTTCTACGTTGTTACTGACTGACTGACTTAACTGTTACATTGGTTGAGATATTAGCTAGATCATGACAACTTTATATCATTGCATCATCCATCATGATCATTGATTGTCCTTGTTCATAAGAAAGGATAGAATTATTTTTGTGTTAACAACTGAGTTATAAGTCTAGCTAATATTGTAAGTTATAGACTTTTATAATTATCTAATACTTAACTGTGTCTGGTCAATAACGAAATCAAGAGTGCCGTTTTATTTTCAAAACGAAATTTCGACGTATAGATCAATACTCATTCTTTGTCAGTCTTAGAAATATAGGCATATTTATAGTTGTCTGATTTATCGTGAAAGTCCCATTATTGTTGGCAGATGGTAGGTAGGTAATTGACGAAATTTAATCATAGATAAAGAAAAGTCTCGTTTTGTTTTTATGATGTTTCAAAAGTATACTAAAGTATTACCTACAAAAGCAGAAATCATATATAGTCTAATTTCTAGGTTAAATATAGAATTAACTAGTGTCTGAATATTAGGTATATAATAATTTATAAAGAGTTTTGATTCGGTAACGTTGATTATTTATAAATTAATCTAAATCCTTACAATGCTCGCATCTTCTGGGATCACCGGGTAAGTAATAGTGAGGTTAGACACAGGGTATTAGGGAATGATAATAAATCAACTGATGAGGTTGTAAATCTTCATCGACTGAGATGGTTGGGCCACGTGCCTGAACACCGAGCAATGCTGACTAATGTTGGGGATGTTTAGAAGAAAGTTATGGGCGGCCAAACTAAAACGTGACGTCAGTGTTTGAAGTCACTAACTTCTAGTCTGAGCCATGTTGGTAGATGCAGACTACTTGGTTGGGGTTCACGTGATTGTCGTAACCAATGGTTGGAGACTCTTGGTCACATGGCTCAGAATCGATCACAATAGCGTCGGTGTATACACTCTTTGTCTTCCCTTAAACCATGAGATTAAAATTATCTTATACCTTTCTTTGTATGAACTGCATTATATTCTCCTACGCAATCTTCCTTTTTATGTATTACTATCATTGAAGTAACTACTTCTATAAATCTGATGTTCATCTTGCTGTGCTAATCAGGTATGGCAACTTGAACCGATGCTTTTCAGTGACAAATACTCGTACAGAGTCTCGCGGTCTATGGAGTCAAATGCTACTTTCAAGTCGAGAAAGACCACCATTGTTGGACGCCGATAAGTATGACTGTGTTCTAGAACCTGACGAATGGTGAATATGTGGTTGATGCAGCCACGACCAGGTCTGAAGCCAGCTTGATTCTCTCGTTTTTGCAGTTCACGAGTCTTAGTTAGGCGTCTGGTAATTATCGAGGCTAGTGTTTTAGACACTGTATTAGTTAAACTAATCCCTCTATGGTTGTCACAGGATGATTTTGACCCTCTTTTATATATTGGGACGATAAGTGATTGTGACCAGTCAGAGGGGATAACATCAAACTCCTAGATTTTAGCTAAAAAATTTTTCGTATATTCATCAACAACAACAAAAACCCAACAAATAAAGTGTACGTCTAAACATATCTGTTCTATATTTTGCCTAAATAATAAAATTGACCTACTTGTTAAGTAAGAAAATGAATTTCAAACACTGTGTATATTAGTCGATTCAAATATACAGAGAGAGAGAAAGAGAGAACTTCATCAGAGTATAGAGAATTTGCCTTTTACAAATTAATACAACTTAACAATTACAAAATAGTATCAATCTGATGATTAGATTATTATCAAATGAGATTACTAACATGTCTAAGCATGTTACTATCTGATGTCTGTCAAGGATTATAATCATATCTATTGTATTTATGTAATTTTGTCATTATACGTGATACTTTGTTAATAAATCTCTATGTGTGTTCTTGTTTATTTGTTTTTTTTTTATAAATACAGTTAACTGACTAATTCTATTTTCATGTGTACTTGTATCATAATTATAATGATCAGTTTAAATGTGATCATCTATATGGATTGATTATGTAATATTTTCTTTATTCAATACTGTCTTAATTGATGAATTATTTACATGGACATAAATCTTATTTAAAAGATGCCGGTTCGGTGGTCTAGTTGGTTAAGCGCCTGGTGTGGGACTGATAGGTCCTGGATTCGAGTCCCGCGGGGTCGTGGATGCGCACTGCTGAGGAGTCCCATACTGGGACGAAACGGTCGTCCAGTGCTTCCAGGTTCTCCATGGTGCTCTAGCTTTGATTGACTCATGATTTCGACAAGTTGAAAGAACTATTTCAACTAAATATGCATGACATAAGAAATACATCAAATTAACTTAAAAATATAACAAATTCCAACAACTTCATTCTATAACTAATTCAACGAGAATAATAGGCCTACTATTACTACCAATATGCAAAATAAAATGTAACACGGTTTGATAAATCGAATATAACAGAGAATTATCTTTAATTTTAGTAGTTGAGATCATGAACCGATTGGTGTTAAACTACCATTGAAAACTTGGAAGCACTGGATGACCGTTTCATCCTACCGTGGGACTCTTCAACAGTGTGCATCCATGATCCCGTCTCGCGGGATTCGAACCCAGGACCTATCAGTCTCTCACGCAAGCGCTTAACCACTAGATCACTGAACTGACATCCAACAGTGTTAATTTCTAACTTCAACTAATCCACGGCATTGAACGACACATCCACCATTGGCGATATCGTGGATGCGCATTGCTGAGGAGTCCCACAGTAGGACGAAACGGTTGTCCAGTGCTTCCAGACTTTCCATGGTGGTCTAACTTCAATTGACTTATGATCTCAACTATTAAAATAACTATAATATCCACACCTCCCCCTGAAATTATCTTTAATCATAACAATTCAAAATGAAAACAATATTTAATAAAGTTAATTTACACACTAAATGAATATGAAGTACTGAATACTTTCCAAACTTACCATCGGTTAACTTTATTTGTTTTTATTGTTTCAATACTCATTTCATCTTTATAAACTTATCTTTAATTAATTATTCACCTATTGCCTCATTTTATATCAATCATGACTTAGTTGTTCATAAATTTTCATTTCTTATTTGCTGCTATACAATTAAGACATGTGAACCTGTTAGTTCTTGAGTTATAATGAATAGAAACAAATAAGGGAAATAAAAAGAGTGAGAGATACAGAGTGATTTAGTTTTCTATTATGGTCATTATGATAGGAGAGTCTAGGTGAACTAATAAATGTATGTAGAATTTAACGATCATTTGCTTATTGATAAAAATATATATCAGAAGGGGTTTGTGGAGATTTTAGAAATTTTCACAGGTTTAAATCATGAGTCAGTTGAAGCTAGACCACCACTGCTGAGGAGTCCCATACTAGGACGAAACGGCCGTCCAGTGCTTCCAGGTTTTCAATGGTGGTCTAGCTTCAACTGACTCATGATTTAAATCTGTAAAAATATATATATCATCGGTTAGATATTGACATAATTTTAGTTGGATCTAAGATTAAACCATCCGAACGATCACATAAGAAAATGCGAAATGAAAATGTTTGATTCATAATAGAGTATATATAAGTTCTTCTGGTAGTAAATAGTGTTTACATAATTACATTTTGTAAATGTACATAGTTTATTGTGTTTTTTTTTCTTTTTTCTTTTCACTGCCCATTGCCCATTTCACCATGAATACCAATCACACCATCTTACTTTTTTTTTTCAGTTTAACAACGAATGATGAACGACTTGCAATGTACGATACTATAGTAAGTATAGTCGTTTTCGCTTGTTTTTTTCTCTCTCTGTCTACATTCGTTTAATTTATAAATAAAAAAGAAATAGAGAAAATTTGTCTAAAAATACACACATTTCAACGGTTTCGTTCATATAGAATTATTGTAACTAATAGTGATCAAAGATTTTAGATAACGTGGTTCAAAATCTTTCTCTATGACGCAGATGTATTCACTCCTTGTCTTTCGATAGATTCGAAGTTTCCAAATTACCATACAGTCTTTTTTATTTTGTTGACCTATATTTTTTTCTTGAATCTTGTCTTTGATGCTTAATCTGTCCTATTGTTACTATTACTGTTACTAATACTGCTCTTGGGAAATTTTATCTCACTTAGGTTGAGTGTGACAACTTGAGCCGGTGTACATATGTGCTAGATTATACGTTATGTACGTTCAACTGAATCTTGATGTGACCCAACCAATAGTTAAATTCAAGTGTTTAATAATTAAAGTCACTTTACTTTCAGTCAGTGGGTGGTTACTGGTTCGAACCTCAGTCTGTAACAACGTGGTACTTCGTACGTACTTACATCAGTTCGAGTTGCCATACCACATTAACATAGAGATGCAGTTATCGATTCGAATCCCATAGTGGTAGAAGTAGTAATCGGAAAGATTAGGGTTTGGAGATGTTACTTAAAGAGTATAATCCAGTGAAATAAATTTGGAAAGAGAAAAAATGGGGACATGAATAATTCAGAAGATTCAAATTTGTGAGAACACAAAGAGTGGATGCACCTGCGAGGTTCAAACTTCACTCCGTCTGCTTCATCTGAGAAGCTTAAGATAGAGTACTACTAGCTCTCTCTCACTCACTCACTCACTTACAAAAAGATATGGTTCAAAACCGAGTACAGAGTACCTGTAGTTGGGAGATGAGTTGAATCATCCGAAAATTGGGTAATACATATTCATACCATTTCACTTAAATTTTCTTACTAACCGTTTATGGTGTATAGTTTCGATTAGGAAATATACGTATGTATGTATATTGAATTTCGAGTATTATAAACTGTAAACAATCTACGTCGTGGTTGACTAACCAGTAATCCCATGGAATAATGACCTCACTCAGTTGCGTGCCTAGCCTAGCCTTCTTCCAACCTACTACGATATACGCACGTTAATATACACCTTGATTGACGAAGTGTAAAACATATCCCCAACTACCTTGGTCGGTAAAGTCTCATACCCTCACCAACCAACCTCATCGTCATTATCCAGTTCCCTACATGACAAGTCTTATCAATAAAAAAATTCCAGTTATTTTGAGTTATAATCTATCTGCAACAATCAAAAATTGTCATAAATCCAAACAACGTATCAGATCATAAAAACATAAAGCGTAAGCAATATTCACTTAGTTCAGGGCGACATCATTGCAGTTTCCAATTGACAACCGTATACAGAGAGATCAAGTTGAAAGCATAACTTTTCAATCGATTGTTCGAACGTAAAGAATTCGACAGGTTCTTTTCCACTTGTAAGTAAAAATAAAATTTCAGAATATATTGTTACGTATGCAGAGGAATATGCCAATAATTATCGTGCTAAGTCGAATGGTGTCCTTGGACGTTAAATGTACATTTCCTATTGGTCTGTGTTTGTTTCACTTGTTAAATATTGTGTAAATGTTATTTTCTATTTTATGGTACGATATGGTCTGCTTGGTTAGTATATAAATAGAGTGTGTTTGAAATATAATGATTCATATCTCAGAGGCTGTGACTCAACTGGCGGGGCTAGATAGCGAAGCATGGCCAATCGGGACTCTAGGTCGTCCATTACGTGTTTACGTGCCACTGAACCGATCGATATAAACGCTGCGCTTCTAACCTGCAGTCACCCGTTACAACAATATTCTAAAGAATATATATATTGATGTCTTTTCTTCTAATATACTTTCTTTGACAAATTCATATGTATTTATAGTGATAATTGGTAGTAATTTAATATTTTTGTACTTATTCATTTTTCATTGAGAAATGACATGAGTTGTTTTAACCGGTCAATTAAGGTTGTACTCAGTCAAACTTATTTTCTCATTCAAAATATATTTTAAAAATAATTGAATTTATATTGTATGTTTTGCCATTCAAGTCGAAACAATTATACATCATGATGTATGTTGTTTTACATAAGCTGTTAACAAATATTTCGATTATAGTCTTGTATACAATTTGAATAGAAGTTTAATTTTTTTTATATTCTACTTTATTTCTGTAAAATGTAGTTTACTAATATTTGGTCATAGATGCTTTCTAAGTGTTTCTCCTGTGTGTTGAGACCATTGAGTGAGTTATTCTGTGGTTGAGCATAGAGTACTAGGCAAAGATGAGAAAACCGGTTGATAAAATTATGTCTTCATCTACTTCACTAGTTAGGGTATGTGCTACGTTTTTTTTGTTGTAGGATCAGTAGATTTCTGATTGGCAGCTGAATTCATGACGTATTTCATCCTATTTGAACTCGTCTGCTGCATGTACTAGTGCTGATGTTCACGCGGGGACTCGAACTTAGTGCTTTTCACTTCAGATGCCTAAAGCATTATCCAATGAGCTACTCAGCCCAAGTAACCACTCACTTGTGCAACGGTTAAGATATTTGTATCATTATTAGAAAAGAGTTGAACTATACCGTTGTTACGTGTGCCCAACCTACACCTATCTCAGTGTTAGTTTATTTATTTTATTTCATTTATTTAAACACATAAACATTGCTACAAGGAGGCACCAATCACATATGTGCCACACAAATCGAATGATTTGTGTGAGGGCTGTGATACTGCCCCGGGTGCCCAGACCGAAACAGGTGGTTTACTTAGAGGACCACACCCCGATCATTGGACCCAAAGGTCTGACCCACAAGGCAATGGAGCATCGTGAGGAGATGCAGTCCCATGGTAGCCGGTGATGAACGATTGGTTCATACGCCATCTGTTCCTTTAGGATACTGGAGCCCATGTGTACCATTGGTTTGGAATCCGGTTAAAGCGCCTGAAGTTCGCTTTTCGTCCTCTCAATTTCTTAAACAACACCCCCGCCACGAGTGTGTTGTTGGTTGATGTGGTAGTAAGCTATGAAAAATTTTGGGATGGCTAAACTCGAACGTGCTATCACTTCATGAAATCATTGACTGTTGAACTGAACTATATCGGTAGATTCAGACTACCATGTTGATATATGTGCGATTCTAGTAACTGTTTGTCGAAAACGTCAGTGAACATAATTTAGAACCAGTCTCCTCAGCTCAGATGCATTCACTCTTTATCCTTATTCGGATACTAAGTATGAGAATTATCCTACACATTCTAGTTTGTAAATTCATTCGCTTTTCTCGAGTTTTATTGCGTATACCTGATGTCTCATATACTACCATTAATACTTCATCATGGTAATTCAATATCGATGCAATAATGTAGTGTAACAACCTGAGCCGTTGCACATATGTACCTGATTCTGCGTTGTTTATGTCTAACTGACTACAACATAAAAGGCGATATCATTAAATTGAAGACAATGTACCAAGTATGTGATGAATGTTAATTAGTTTTTAATAGCGTCAACCAATGACAAAGTTAACTGAGTATAAATTAATTAAGTATATGTATCTTTGCATGAAAGCTATATACGGAACTCAGTGAATCTACTAACCACAATGGCACAACCTGCCTTATCCTTATAGTCTTAAAATAATAACAAATTGGGTTGTGTAGTTTATGAGAGACAAAAAGGAGATAATATTGTGTGTATTGATAGAACGTGTAGTGTTATTGTTGCAAACACCTCAGGTTCTTGGAATCTAAGTTATTGATTTGGTTATTATATCTATATTGATCATTCTCTGTTGAATTTGAGGCGATGTGATTTCTATTTCCAATCAGTTTAAACTAAATTACAATTTGACTTGTGTACATTGTATGACTAATCTTATAGAGTGTTTCGCCTATTTAACTTTCAGACAATAATACTTACATTGTATTGTTCATCAATACCAATCTGTTTGATTATTTCTAAGTGATTAGCTAGCTAAACACAACTTATATTTATTGGTTCAGTCAATTAAACACTTCGTAGTATCATTATTGTTGTTGTCGTCGAAAAAAGCACACACCTACTACTTAGTTGGTACCTTTTTATATTGTCTAAAGAGAACGTTTTAATTTTAAAGTTTTGTAAAATCATCACTAATGAATCATTCATCAATTTATTTACAACTCTATATATTTTGAAATATAAAGTGTGTGTGTGTGTATACCCCGGAAAAACTGATATTGCACGTTATTCTTGTTGCTTTCGTCGTCATTACTGTCGAGGTGATGGCGATGATGTATTAATTCACAGAAAATGCTCAAGATTGCGAATGTGTCCGCTGATACATATATATGTCTTTCGGATTCTTCGCTGATCTAAATTGACCCCTGTTTGTTGATAGTATTCTTAGTAGTCATGTGTGATCAAACTTAGCAACACGTTGGGGTTTATGGAGATTATTGGATTTTATAGTCAACATAAAGGACTGATTCTGGTTAAACAACTGTATAAAATCAGAAAGTAATAGACAGTTATTTCGTTTCGACATGGGATTCCTCATTTTGATTGAGGATACATATTGTTGAGAAGTTTTATGCAATAACAGAAAAACTGTGTAAAGCTTTTTGGTTTTCAATGGTTGCTTAACTTAGGTCAGTCCTTGATGTAAATCAAAGGAAAGTTACTTACTCGTTTCCGGCTTCGTTAACATATTGACGAAGGTACTCGACTCAATTACTATTATTATTTTCAGGCTCAAATCTTGTCCCAATTACTTTAACTTGATAAGATAATAGGTTTTCACAACATGCCTCACACATATTGTGATCCCAATCTGATTGGATCCACCTCTTGACAAATGAATGGCTATGAATAATTAGTGAACAAACTGTTCAAAAATTTTGACGTCTTTTTCTCATTTAAAAAATATTTAAATAAATTTAATCAGCAGTTATGTGGGTATGATTCATACTAAGTATGAGGACTAATAACACTGTAAGATTTAATTTGTCCTATAGATATTCTCTCGGAACTGTAAATGCGATTGTGACGATCCAGAGTCTAAGTAAAAGCTATGGTCAGAATAAGGACTCTGGGTCCCCAAATGCCCTGGTACGGCCGAGAGTAGGAAGAGTCAGCTCTCCCTCTCGAAATGCTCTCACATTGCCACGCGTCTATAGCCTCTACCAGAGAAGTCCTACTCACTGCCTCCTCGTGGCGGACATGTCGTTTACGAAATTGAGAGGAAGTAAATCGAATATCCGGCGCTTTAACCGGGTTGGTGGATACTGAGAGTCTACATAGGGGAGTTGGAATACCCTGATTCCAACCTAATAGTGCACATGGGCTCCAATATCCTGAGGGAACAAATGGCGTACGAACCAATCGTTGGTCACCGCTTACCATGGTACTGCATCTCCTCACGATGCTTCACTGTCTTGTGGGTCAGACCTTTAAGTCAAATGTTCGGGAAGTGACTTCCTAAGGAAACCACCTGCTTCGGTTTGGGTTCCCGGAAAGTATCTCATTCCTCACACAAGTCGAATGGTTTGTGTGGCACATATGTATCTGATACTCTCTTGTACCAATATTTATGTGTTCAAATAAATAAAATAAATGTCATCAGTATTACGTTTACAGTGCCGGTAGAATATCTGTAGGACGAATTAAATCCTACAAAGTTTCGACCATTATTGCATGTCTAATCGAAATCAATAATAAATCATGAGTTTCTGTCACAATAATATGATATGATAATAATGTCTTTCAATTAGCAGGTCACACGCAATAGGGATAGTCTTCAGACACATCAGACCAGGTTGACGTGGTGAATGTTTAAGCAGAGATTTGATTCGTTAGTTATGGGTGTAGCTAACATACACTACTACCTGGATCAAAGTACGTAGCCCGCCTGCGTTCGAACGTGGAACTTAATGATCGGAAGTTGAACTTTCTAACCACTAAGCCTCAATGGTTTTCTAGAAATGATTTTTCATTCATCAACTTAAATGACATTCAGTATTAATTAAGCTAAATTGTCTTATACTTGTATCGATACTAAAACTATCGAATGAAATTCAACTTCACATTAGGACACCATGAAGTTGGTGGATATTTTCCTATTCACAAGTGATTTTGTTTATTCTTTGTAGGTGGTTGGTTGGATTGTTGTCATAAGTTGACAAAAGCTGTTGGATCCATAAATCCTAGATTACATTTGATAGATATAATTTTATAATGTCCAACGTTTCACAAAGTGTTACGTCTGTCATTGTCATATTTAGATCGTTGATTCGGATTTCAGTTAGTCCAGACTACAATCACTTGTGTTGGTTACGAAACATAACTTCCATTAATGTTGTTTTTGACTAGTGTAGAATGGTGTGACATTACAATATCTAGAGAGTGTCATTAATTAATTATTATTATTATTTTAACACATAGATATTGGTACAAGGAGGCATCAAATACATATGCGCCACACAAATCTCATTCGATATGTGTGAGGGCTGTGATACTGTCCGGGTGCCCAGACCGAAACAGGTGGTTTTCTTAGAGGGCCACACCCCGAGCCTTCGACCTGAAGGTCTGATCCACAAGGCAGTGGAGCATCGTAAGGAGATGCAGTCCCATGGAAGCCGGTGACCAACAATTGGTTCATACGCCATTTGTTCCCGCAGGATACTGGAGCCCATGTGCACCATCAGTTTGGAATCCAGTTAAAGCGCCGGACATTCACTTTTCGTCCTCTCATTTTTGTAAACAACACCCCCGCCACGAGAAGGCAGTGAGTAGGACTTCCCTGGCAGAGGCTATATACGCGTGGCCATGTGAGAGCATTTCGAGAGGGAGAGCGGACTCTCCCCACTCTCGGCCATACCAGGGCATTAGTTAATTATAACATGATGACATTGATTGATTATCACATTTTTGGTGATACAAATGAAATAATCCTCTACTAATATAATCAAATATAGCATTGTTTACAAGTCAATTAAATTCATGATAAGTTTTTACATTTTATCCATAATTCTATCGTTGGTATTTCTTTTCTCTTATTATTTGTGTATATTTTACTCTTACTACTGAATCTTTGATTTGTAGAGTTTTCATTGTCTGGTTTAATTCATAAAATAAAACAAAAGTTTTACAATTAAACCTTCTAGGTCAAAGTAGAGAATATAACATCTCTTCTTTATAATCTAAGAATGTTTATTATTCTAAGGTGACAATATGATTTTTATTTTCATAGTTATTCCATATAACTCACAATAAAACTAATTGTGATAAAATATTGGCCGGTCGATATTTTATGTTTCACACACAAATAAATGATTGATTAAATTACACTGGGTAAAAATAAACATATGATTGTTACCATACAGTGTGTATGCATGTCTAAATGTGCAACTACTTAAAAACAAAATAAGTAGGCTAACAATATAAGCAAAAAGTGTAGAAGGTTGAAAGAATATCAACTAATTTTGCGGAATACATCATCGAATTGATGTTTGTCGACAATCCACAGTGAATTTCCGATAAGAAATGCTAATCAGAAACGCTATAAGAAAAACCTATCCAAACAAATATATCGAATATTTTACCAAGTAATTTATTCTCATGTTCCACCACCTATTTTCTACAGGGTTCGAAAATTTTGGTCACTAACTCATGTAGAAAATAGTTTTGTCCACACACATGTACCTATTTAATACTACGTACTCATAGGAGATGAATGATTTTCTTCAAGTTTCAAAATACTTTGTTCGAATATGAAATTACTCATTCACATTATTTACAAACAATTCATCTGTCTTCGTATCATTTGCTTACTAATTATTTGTCGGAATTTATCACTAACTGATTAAAGGTGAAATAATACTACTAGATGCTGAATTAATGATTTTGATAGCTAAGTGTTCGCCTGTGTTTTATACCTGGTAAATTCATGGGTGCACACTAATTACGAGTCTCATGGTGGGGCGAAGCAGCTGTCTAGTACTCCCTGGTTTTTAGTGGTACCCAAACTTATATCAATCTATGACGAATGCAACCTACACATGAGTAATTGATCATTTCGGTCTGCAGTAATTTCTGAAAGTCTCAAATCATTCTGTGAGTGTTCTACATCGGTTATTGGTTGATTTTTCCCATTATTATATTAAAAGAAAAAGAGAAGGTTAATTATGTAATTGTATATGAATGGGGAAATAGAACTATATCATTCACTACCGGTTACACATTGAATCCAAATTTTATTCTTTTTGGAAAGAATACTTCTTGATTAATTCTAAAAGTATCCATTTCATTTGTTGTTTGTATAATCATTGTTTATCGTTATTTTTTTTCTCTTTGATATACATTTCTCTCTAACCAATTTTTGTTTTTCCTCTTTATCATATTTCATAAATCATTCTTTCAAATTCAATTCTAGGCTTCTAAAATTAAATCATTAACCATTTTGAAAAATGCCGATCTTAATGCAATACATAATTGGGTAAAGAATCAATGCAATAGTTTAGTACGTGAAATTACATTTAGTAATGCAGAAGAAATCACTGAAACACGTATACCATTAATGTTATTATTTTATAATCCAGATAATAAAACAATTGTTAATCGTTTCATAGAATTTGTCATTTCACATTTAAGTCATCATCAATGTAAGTTTTATGAATTGATTTGTTTATTTTAATTATTTATCATCTTTGTTATTATTGTCAATTGTCTTATTTGGTTTATTTTTAATGTTTATCATTCATTGTTTTCAATACATTCTGTATGTTTCTGGTTTGTACCATAAAGTACTACTACTGTAGTGAACAGAACACAAGTGGAAACAATCGAATGTATTTAGCACAAAATTATAAAGTTACTTGGTAAAATAGAAAAAACCATATAGTAATTCGTTAATTTGCAAAATATTAATCCATCATATCAAACCGGACTCTGTTGCTGTTGTAAACATCAATCCATTGTGTCTCACATTTCATTGTTCATACGTTTTCTTACAAATTGCATTGTGTTCCCACTCTTCCTTTCTTGATCTTCCCCCATCTTCTGCTGCCAGACATTACGTTCTTTAAGTCGTGTCATATACTACTTATATCAATATAAGTATCACACACCACACTACTACTACTAAACTGTACAAGTAATTTATGAGATCTAACAAAAAAATACACATTAGTTCTTATACTTTTCAAAAGATCTCTCTTATGTATGTATGTGTTTATGCTCATTGTTGTTAGGCTTTTCATTATATATTATTTCTGTAATATTGACAAATAATGTGTGAACTATGTGTGATTATTTTTATGTCTAGTTGTATATTGAACATGTAACAACGATAGTTACACATTGATTTCAAGCTTGCAGACTATAAATCTTAGATTCTTGAATGAAATTAATTTCATACAAAAAACAGAAAGAAAAAAGATATGGAAACATGGATTATGTTAGGAAGTGTAATTATGGATGTGTGTTTCATTCTATTTTAGGGCTGGTCAGATAAATGTACTAACATTTTAGTGTTGATGCTCACATGTTCCCGGCTTTGAACCTCAGAACATAGACAAAACGCGCGTCCTTGAATTATTTATTTAAACACACAAATAATGGTACAAAAAGGCACCGAATAGAACTGCGCGACACAAGTCACGTGATTTGTATATGAGATGTGATACTGCCCGGATGCCCAGACCAAAGCATGTGGTTCTCTTAAGGGGCCACACCCGGAGCCTTTGGCCTAAAGGTCTGATCCACAAGACAGTGTAGCAACATCCGGAGATGCAGTCCTATGGTAACCGGTGACCGGCAATTGGTTCATACACCAATTGTTCCTTCAGGATCCTGGAGCCCATGTGCGCCATTGGTCTTGGGTCAGGGTTTTTCAATCCTCTATGCTGATCATCCGTGTTCACTAACCCGGTTAAAGCACTGGACGCTCGTTCTTCGTCTTCCTAATTGCGTAAACAATACCCGTGGTGTGAGAAGGTAGTGAGTAGGACTTTCCTGTCAGTGGTTGTATGTACGTGACCATGTGAGAGCATTTGGAGCTTGATATAATCCGTCTATTTTATAGCAAATTGAAATAAAATGACTATATCGAGGCAGTTTGCACTGGATGCACTTATACCACAGTTAACTTTCTGTTTCGATCACCCTATTTTTATCCTTAGCTCTTGTAGAAAAGCTAACAAAGTATATCGCAGAGCCGGATATATAATCATTTCAGTCTGTTATAAGCAACGTAGAGCCTGGGTCATGTGTACATCGGTATAAGTTGTCACCTCATATCATCACAGTTAAGAGGAGTTATCAAGGCTAATCCTGGGGTAGTGGAAATGTTAAAAGTATCAGTTGCAGTAGGAAAGATTAAACGGAGAATATAATTGAAGAAAAGTATTGATTTCCTGGAATTAACAGGAAAAGAATTTATAAGATAATCTCCACACTCAGGATATTTCGAAAGAACGATTTTTTTTTATTCATGTTGCCCAACGCCTCTATCCACTGGAGATGATAGTCGCACAGATCTCAACATGGAAGTCTGCATCTAGTAAACATACATCGGTTTAACAGTCAACAACTTCACGAACTGATCTCACGTTTCGGTTTAACCACCCCTATTTTTCTTTTAACCTACTCTTACATCTGCCAAAGCCTCTTGTCAAAGCAGGCAGTAGTTGAACATTCATTATACATCTCCCAACCAAGTCGATGAAGATCCATTACCATCTCAACAACCAACTTCTCATCTTCATCTTGTAAACTAGGCGTCTAATCTCTATAGTGCCTCCACGTGTTGGTATAGCTTCGATGGGGAGTTTGACTAGATGCTAGGAACCTATAATTACCAACAACTTCCTAACTGCACGATTCATAAATATGTACATTTAATGTTCACGTTAACGCCATTCGAAATTTTAAATAATTTCAAGACATTTAAATGAACATATCTTGTTTGATTGAACATTAATAATAATATTAATTCACCCTATATTGTTTATTTTTTGCTGTAATTACATCCTTTTCCCCCCATTCATTAACGTTCAATCCTTTTGACCTTCGTACCCCCTTCACCATCATCATAATCTAGCCACAATCAATTTTGTAACAGCGGACGGAACCACTTTTGCGCATCCATTAGCTCATCTAGGCAAATCTAAAGAAGATCTACCGTTTATCTGTTTAGATTCATTTGCACATATGTATGTATATCCTGGATCAGTAGAGATGGCATTAAGGTTAGTTGAATACTCTGTTATTTTATGTTGTTTAATTGTGTTTATATGTTGTAATTGTTATATGATTTATTTAGATAACTTTTTTAGTAACATAATGATCAATACATTCTGACCTCTCTTCAGTCCTATCAAACCTTAAAGCTTTAATAATTAACTAGAATTGTAAACACTATGTTGAAGAATGGAATTTTGTCAGTTGATTATTGTAACTAATATGTTCGTTGTTGTTTAGTTGTATGTTTTTGGTCTTGATTGAACACAAAATAATGATAAAACAACATAACATTGTATCATTCATATCAATCCACACCGATAAACACGGGGATGAATTCTATTTCAAAAATATCATCTCTAGATCGATAATTTCTGGAAGAATAATATTCAGGCAAACCTACAATTAATGATATATCTGTATGAACGCTTTTTATCAATCTATGTTACTCAGTCAGATTGACTTCGTCAGATGTTAACAGAATAAAACAGTCACTAAAAATAGGAAGACAATGAAATTTGATCAAATTTCACAAAACAATCATTCACAAATAGAGTCAATGTATATGAGTTAATTTAACACGATTATAGATTAAACAGTCCACTTCTACATGAATTAAATGTTAATGATTTTGTTCAGAATAACAGTAGAAGTTTCTCAATTAAACTGTACAACTAAAAAAATCATAACATAATCAAGAACATTTACATGAGCTAGAAATCTTTGTCATCTGAATGTTTGTAAATAATTCTGATCTAGTTCAAATATTTACAAAAATAATCTCATTAGATGTAAACTATTTGGTTGCGGTTCGCTCGATTATCATAACCAATGATAGGGTGAATCAGCTAGGAAACGTTCGCAACAGCTAAGGTGTATACAGTCTCTTTCGAATGACCCAGAGTTTCTGAATTACCTTATGGATTTTTTTCGTTCCATTAATCTATATTTTCTTCCCAAATCGATGCTTAATCTTTTCTATTATGTTTATTATTGTTACTATTTTTACTGTTCTAAGTTATGAATATGAGATACTGTGACAATTTCATCTCATTGTACGAACAAGTTTCGGTACCTTGAACTGATGTATATGTTTGGCAGGTTCTGTGTTGCGTTTTACTAACTGATGTTGCTACAATATACAATGACCATGCATATGTGTGTATGTCCTTCTTCCCTAATTTTTCCCTTCATATTTCTTTCGTTTGCTCCTTATCTGTTTGTTGGGTTTTTTTTCTAGTGATCCAAAGCACTTGGATCAGTTTATTGAAGATCTAAAATCTGGAAAACTACACATGGAATATCATTATGGACCAAGCAGTCAAACATCGACTACATCTCCAAAAACCGAGGATGACGAATCAGTCAAAGTAGGTGATCCAACATTTAATTTATCTACGCCCTCTAACACTACTCAAATAATTTTATCAGTAGGTAACTTATACATAATCTATGATTGGAGCATTATATTGTTTCTTAATGATAAATAATTACATCATGTAAACGCACCGGTGCTACATCGTTCACTAGTCTCTACTGGTTTATTCATTCTATGTTTCTATAATTAACTCAAGTATTTTATTACAACTCACTATGTTCTACATAGTAGCTGGTTGACGTGAATTTACTTCACTGCAATGTCTAATACAACTCAGTTACTACATGGAGTGACTCATCAGTCTTATGTAGTTACCGAAGGATTATACTTATCTGTCCAATCCTACATCACTGTAGTACATGTGGTGTTGGAATGATTTTATTTTAACTGCAGAGCACTCACCTGTTGTTGACGATAGGTTTGTACACTAGTTATTCACATACTCGTCGTAATTCTATTTCGAATGTTAGACATTAACTCGAGGTGTAATACAAGGCATAAAATACTATAGACCTCTTGGATGAATTTATAATTAACTTAGTCAGTACTCTTTTACAGGGTTAGTAAACGAGATCTGTTTCAATTGATGATTTTCATTTGTCAATAGTTCCACTTTCAAACTGTCGATGAGCAATGCGTAGTATATAAGAAATAAAACAATTTGACTTGTTCCCAAATACTCACTAATTTATCGTCATGACGTCATTTATTTACATGAATTTACTTCTTAAAAGATAAAAACTCTATTATTTATCATTACTTCAATGATTAATCAGTGAGCATATTCAAATCTTCATATGACTTGAATTCCGACTATTTTAAACAGTTGACCAGAAGTTACCATTCTATTAACAGTTCTTCTATGCATATACCCATATTCAGAAGTAACTGTAAACTCAATTTAATCACGTAAAACTTATTCAAACACTGTATAGCAAGTTCCTTTGGTCAAACAAGTTACTTTTTTATCCTAAAGTTTTTAACTACTTTTTGTTCATTTAAGTAGTATTGGGTTATTGTAAAAAGAAATCTTATTAACCAAAACATTTCGTTGCTTTCTTTTTAATTGTAGACTACACCACATGTTTCTGTATTCCAACTTTTAAGTCCATCAAGAAGGCGATATACATTTAAACATGATGAATTCTAACAAAATAGAAACATATAGGTATATATATATATAATCTGGCATCCTGTAATTTTGTTCATATGACACATCTTTTTTTTGAATACATTAAACCTATAGAATTGGGAAAAGGAACATGATTGATGTTTTGTGCTCTGTTCTCACTATTTCCCTCTGTCTACAAATATGTTATTTTCTACAGGATCAATTTTATATTTTCTTTACTTACAAATGTTTGTATGTGTGTAATGTTATTGCATGTGTACATGGTGTATACACATGAATTTTGTCCACTTCTTGTTGTTCTTCTCATCATCCTCATTCTCTAAGTAAGTATCATTACTTTGAATTAAACAATCACTATTCTGTTTGTTTTATTTTCTTCCCTTAAGAGTCATTTTGTTGTCGTACATTTTTTTCTAATAAAAAAAATAATAATAATTGAATAAATCAATCATGATTCGAATAGACAACAATATGACTGTGAATCTGTTGGAAAAGAGAGATGAAGAATGTTCTAAAAGTTGTTTGTCACTGCTCAGTTTAAATCTACTTTTCTTTCTCCCTCTCTTTTTTTCTTTTTCTAAATATCTTGTTATACTTTCAAACTGTGTTACTTTGAGTAGTAAAGTATTTTGTTCATTGATTTAACTAGTTCACTCACTATGTGCTGTACTCTTTTATTGAAAAAGAAAAAGTTTTTTGTAATTATATCATTTCTTTTCTAATTATTATTGTTATTGTCTTTCATAGTTTGTTATTTCTTATTACTGCTAATATTATAATTGCTATGGATGACTATGTGTACGTGTGTGTGTGTGTGTTGTACGTTGAAATAGTTCACTTCTTTAGGTGTATAATGGTATGGTTTAATAACTCTATCATAAATTGTAATAAAATCGCGTGATTGTGTGTGCACACTCCCCCCTTCCCCTCCCACACACACATACAAACGCTGTAGAGTGAGTAAATTATAGTGAAAATGATCAAGAAAGAAACAGAGTATAGAAATCATATAATTTACTGAATGTGGTTAACGACTAAGCTGAGAGTTTGTTTGTTCTTTCAGTAGTTTGCCTTTCGTTTTTTTTCTCTCTCTCTCTCTCTCTCTCGCACAAAAATGCTACTTTTATGATCAATTTCATGGTGAATTAGAGATCTGTATTTCCTTTTTATTTTGTTAACCGGATGAAGGGGTTTTTTTGTAATTGTAATGTCTGAACTTATATTATACTTACCGTACACAGTAACAATAATAAACAAATTCTAACGTGTGGAAATGATTTTTGTGTTGTTGTTTTTTCCTGTCTTGCTCTATTCTTTGCAGTTTATACTTTGTGTAATACAAGTGAAGATTCTAATGACCTCGAAATTGAGTATAAGTAGATATTGAACATTGAACTGAATTTTGATTAAGGATAAACATCTACACACTTTTTGTATGATAAATATGATACATATAGATAAATACCGGTAAATAGTTATCGAATAATGAGTTAATATCAAGATAGCCAATTTTAATTCTTTTCGGAAAGTTAGATCAGATTACATTCTGATACTTTTGTAAACCAACCTATTAGTCTATAGGAAACGGGGAATATGTCGAAAACTTTACAAAAACATAAAGGTGTTTATAGGGCTATGGTTATGTGCACGAATTTCATGACAATCTAATCAGGATAATGTAAGTGTAAAGCCATCGCTTTCTAGAATCTTTTTGTAAGTTTCCAAAGGATGTCGAATGGTTGAATTATTTTTATACTTCTAAATGTTTTCATGGAATTGTCAAGGTCTCCTAACACACTACTGAATAGCTTTGCAGAGGATAGATATATGTAAGGCTTGAATTATTTGACAACTGATAAGAAGTAAATTTTTGTTATCACATTATGAACAATGATTCCATGTCTAAGTGAAACTAAACAAAACATTTTCGTTGGAATAGCCTCCATCTAAAACAGTTCATTCTTTGATTATTTTTCCTTTAAAACAAACTCAACTAAATCCATTCCATCACTGATTCATTAAATGATAAACATTCTTATGTTGTACAATCTGTCTTAAAGTGGGAATACTTTTTTGTAAACTATTTGTAATTTATTAAGGGAGATGACCAGTTCGCTTGATTTGAAACAACAGATCACACTAAGATGAACTAGTAACATTGATGTCATGACAAACAATAGAATATAGGAATTATTGATGGAGGAAAGCTGGTAATCTGACCTAAATGAATATAATGACATTTTACAGGTAAGAGGCTTAACTATATTAGAGCTGAAAACAATAAGCATTTATCTTTAAGCAAATTTGAATAACAGGTAACCGTGAGATCCATGTAGTGCATTTCGTCCTACTTAGGGGATCATCAGTGGGATGTAACTGAATGTTTAATAACCCAGTGAGTAACGCATTCAGTATGTGAAGTGAATTCATTTATATCCACCTATTGGTGTGACCATTAGATTTGCGGTAAATGTGATCCAGCCGAAATGGACGCACTCAGAAGATTATCATGTTAATAGTTGTCAAATTTTTCACTACAGTAACCAGAGATCAAACATGTATATGTGAATTACGTAAATATTACTAATTATATGATTCGTACAACCTACAATTTTTGTTTTTATTTACCCGATCTGAAAAGTGTTATTGAGATTAAACTGAGAATAAGGTTTCCGGGTACATGCGGGATTTTTGAATGATGACTGTTATTTGAACTCTGTTACCAACGTAAAGAACATAATTTTAGGTTTTCCTCAAAGGTAGTTTTAGTGTAAAACTTTTACTACTCATCCATGTTCGTTAATAGAAGGTTAAACTTCATATACGCCCATCTTACCGTATTGTTCGCTTTCATCCTTTTGTAGATGACGTTAAACTACTTATCAGTAGCTAATAGCTTGAATATATTTGAATATTTTAATGATGTGTATACTATAACTCTGGACTGGTGTCAGGTCCATTTATTTTAAGAAGATTTAAAGAGTTTTTTTACAATGTATAATAATAAAACGTTTATTTGTGTTAGCTCACCAATAAAGAAGTTATTTCATGGATGTTTAAGTTACGATTCCTTTACAGAACAATGTGTTGATGATTAAGGTACTCATCATTTTTCGACTAGTAGGTCACAATCTTGACTCTCGCTACATCTACTTCAGTTTAAGTAATTGAATATTATCAATAATTTGCATAAAAATGTATAGTTCATAGCCTAAAACATGATCATATGCTTAGCAAATGAATTGAAGGTGAAGATTCATTGGCTGTATTAATAACCTACATATATTCCACTATTAAATTAGAGTTGACTGTACAGGTGAGCAGAAGTTCTTTCATGTTTCTTTATGATTTATGATTGGTTGAATCATGTTTTCTTCGATAGCAAAAGTATAACTAACAATTGCGGCTTAGGTTATCGACAAAGTTTTCAATGCTCAAGAATTTTACCGTATCTAGCACATTTAGTTATTTTCCTCTTCAATTGTTGACTGTGTTGTATATCAGAGAGTAATTTCCACCAAAAATTTCATTTTAAATATCTGAATTTATCAACAAATGTCTTCTGTGAATAAGTCAGTGTACCATAACCCAATATACTAAATGATATACATGAATATGGAGAAGTTTGTAGTTTAAATGAAATCACCAATCAAAATTACACTTTAACATTAAACACATTCATTAAGAGAACAGGAAAATGAACGAAATCACGAGTAACCCCATATACATGACCCAGAGTAATTATCATTTAATATTTGAGATCATGAGTCAACTGAAGTTAGATCAATATGGAAAACCTGGAAGCACTGGATGATCGTTTCATCCTACTATGGGGCTCCTCAGCAGTGCTCATTCACAGTCCCGCTTCTCGAGATTCGGACCCACGACCTAGCATTCTCGCGCGCGAGCGCTTAACCATTAGTTCACTAAGCCGGTATCTAACGGTGTTAATCCTGATTTCGTCCAATCCATGAAATTGCCCCACCGTTTTCTTCAGTTAGTTACTATCTTACAACAGACGCGGTTGAACTCCATTGATAGCTGCTTCTTACTAGAACTCCAGGATATACCTCTTGAAGCCAGTCACTAATGAACATATGTTGATTAATATCAAAAGGGGTTTTGTAGATATTATAGTAATTTTAATAGTTGAGATCATAATTGCAAATAACACATTGTTTGGCTAACAAGCGAATTCTTACTACAATCACTGTCAAATAAATAAACAACATAATTGAAAATATTTAAACAGAATATTACTGAAGAGTCCTGTACTAGGACGAAACGACCGTCCAATGCTCCCAAGTTTATCATAATGGTCTAAATTTAATTAATTCATGTATTCAACTATTAAAAAAACTGGAAAAGTTGAACACATTTACTCACTAAAATAATTCAGTAATATTAAATATATCAAAAAGGGTTCTAAATTGATCTTATAAATGAAGGCCAATAATCAATAATAATACAATGTTCCTTTAATCAATATTATTGATTGATCATCTGAACTAATTTTTTTCGCTCTCTCTCTCTCTCTCTCTTAAAATTGGATTGTTTTTTTTGGATAACAACTAAGCTGACATGAATAAATTTACATACACTTAAAAGTACGTTCATTGAATAGTTTAATGCGCATTCTTTTTTTGGATTAGTCAATATGATACCATGTGAGCCTTTTCTGTTTTTTAGATGATTACAGACTTAATTACAAACTTGTTGTTCCCATTCAATATCTAGGTTACTTTTAATTTTCATCTAATCAATTTATGTAATAGTTAGTATGATGAATTGGCATAGTCAACGCCTAAATACACACTAAAACTCTACTCAAATGCCCTAATTAAGCTGAAATTGGGACGTGAGATAAAAAGTAGTGAGATTTAGATGGTGGTTGGAGGTAATCAACAGGAAACCCTGGATCCGGGTTTCGTGCTACTTGGCACTCGTCAGCAAGGTGTACCTGTAATCTTGAGGGAACTGGTGCTCGCTGGCGGATTCGATCTCGTGTCACCCAGCTTCACAGTCAGGACTAGACAAGCAAGACATTGATCACCACCCAGTGATCAATCAATTGTAATTACATCTCAGTCCTACAGGAGGTTAGTCACGACTCGGATAGCTCAGTGGTAACGTCTCTGACTATGAAGCTGGGTGACACGAGATCGAATCCGCCAGGGAGCACCAGTTCCCTCAAAAGTACAGGTACAACCTGTTGATGAGTGCCAAGTAGCACGAAACCCGGGTCCAGGGTTTCCTGTTGACTACCTCCAACCACCATCTAATCTCAATACATAGTGCCCGCATTTTCGAGTCACCTAGATCGGTGTCCACATTGCAACATGATCAATAGTATTCGATCTGCACTAATAAGGACTAGACAAGCAAGACATTGATCACCACCCAGTGATCAATCAATTGTAATAAAAAGTAGTCTTTTGGCACCTATACTTAGTTTGTGGATATAATGAGTTCAAATAAAGGGATTGAAAAGATCCAATCCTGAAGAAATGAATTGTATGAGATTATATTCTGTTAACCGGTAGTCAAGTGACTACATATCCCGACGTTGTTTCTAGTACATTATGGATTGAACGTTTAAGTTAAGAGCTCTAGATGTGACTCCTTAAGCTGCTAACTATCTTCTTCTGTTCGAGCATCCAGGTTGTATCCCAGCCCACATACAAATATGACAATGAATAGTTAATAGGAAACTGTTCTACTCTTTATTCTCCAAGGTCCACTCAAACGAAGTAAGCAATCACTTTATTACAAATTAATTTGTTACTTTTTTCATCCTTCTGCTTTATTTTGTTTCTATTCTGTGTTTACTTTCATTTTTTAACTTATTCAGCAACTCGTTTTTGTTGAAAGTTCTTTCCTATTCAAGCCATTGAAGTTTCACTATGATACAGATGGGATAACAGGTAGTTTAGCTGTCATCCGAGAGATTCCCACACTATACATTTTTACCGACGATGAAATGAGATAAAGTTTATAATATGGTCTCATAGTATAAAAGATAGCTGAAATCTATCGCTTTATCTCAACTCTTCAACAAAGGTCGTAGACATTGTAGAATCTTTTGAATAGAGACGTTCATCCGACCCCAAATGCTCCGGTAGGGTCAAGAATGGGGAGAGTCAGCTCTCCCTCTACAAATACTCTCACATGGACTCGCATATACAACCACTACCAAGGAATTTCTGCTCACTGCCTTCTCGCACCACAGGCATTGTTTACTGAAATGAGAAGATGAAAAGCGAATATCCGGTGC